AAACACTGTTAATGTCTATACCTTATACTCTTACAATGAAACACAAGTTGAAGACTGTCACATCATGTCCCATCCCAACTTTTCACAAGCTGTCTTTGTAATACATTGAGTGGGTAGTCATAGAAAAACCCAACTCTCTTGTTAGGAAATATAATGGAAGAATGTTTCCCTTGAGTGTAGACCCATGATGTGCATGGGTACAGAGATAGCGTCTTCCTTGTTGCCTGAGGTCTGGGTCACAGCGACCTGCAACCCTGTTCTCCCATGACAATAATCTTCACCTTGAGATAGGTGACTCAGTGGTCTTTCTCACAGTCCCTTCCATCCATAGCCTAGTGGTTAAAGCGTTGGCTCGTCACGCTGAAGGCCCTTCGATTCCCCCATGGGCCCTATGTGTAATTTCTGGTGAAGCCCGGATAATGAAGCAAGTAAAACTAGATTATCAGTCCTCTGTTACTTTAATCTCCCATGAAGCTCACTAGATTATCCTCCTTTGCATCTCACTTTATGCAGTTTATGCGGTAATTTGTTTCTATCAAAATTATACATATTCAGAGACTAGGCTGAGTGTAGTAACGCAGAGTTGTTTACTGGCAACTGGGCCGCAGTGCAGGACTTGCCTACAACATGGGCTGGGCTGCTTCACGTCACATGAACAATGCGGCTGGTTCACGGCTGACAGCGGTAGGTGCACATCAAAATGTTTTACAGATGAAAAAAGATACTTCCTTAATTTTGTACTGGGCTGGATGTAGGTCAACAGGTTTATTCATTCCCCTGAGATCATCCTGTAAGGTGACCTACAGTCTAACAATGAGACAATAAATATCTCACCTAAACGTTTTTTAATATCAAATACATGTATATAGAACACAAACCAGGGTTTTAAACTTTTATAGATTTGTGTTAATGTTTTGAAATAAAAGGAACAACGCAATGTCTTGAGTGTACCAAGTAGACGAAGAAGCCTTAGTGACAGAGAGTTTTGTAATGGCATAGTCAGTGAAATATGAATGAGCATGGTTTTACACTGCTTGTAGCAATATTCTAGCAATACCACCAGGGACACCAGAAATTGGCTTCACACATTGTATTAAACTGGGAATTAAACTTGGGTCTTTGCCGTGACAAACAAACGCTGTAACCAGTAGGGTATCCCATCGCTCCTAGCAACAAGGTCTGTCTTCAGCTTCAGTCAAAATACAAAACATGACAATCAGATACCAGCTATCAACATTTGTATTTCATGACCCCCTACTTCGTTAAGGTGAGTGAGTGAGTGAGTGACACCACTTTTAGCAATATTCTAACAATATCATGGCGAAGGACACCAGAAATGGGCTTCACACATTGTAACCATGTGGGGAATCGATCCCAGGTCTTCGGTGTGACGAGCCAACGCTTTAACCACAAGGCTACCCCACCACCCCGATTTACCCAGAGAATTAGGGGCCTCAAGGATATATATTGTATAGAGAACAGTGAGTGAGTGAGTTTAGTTTTACGCTGCATTCAGCAATATTCCAGCTATATGGCGGCGGTCTGTACATAATCGAATCTGAACTAGACAATCCAGTGATCAACACCATGAGCATCGATCTGCGCAATTGGGAACCGATGACATGTGTCAACCAAGTCAGAGCCTGACCACCCAATCCTGTTAGTCGCCTCTTACGACAAGCATGGGTTACTGAAGGTTCATTCTAACCCGGATCTTCACGGGTCATATAGAGAACAGCTAAAACGCATAATGTAAACATTTTTAGTTTCAAATGTTCATCGTATACAATAAACCTGAAAGGTTCAGCTGATCAGTGTTGGGTACTTGTGAAAGTAGAACCAGTTGTCCTCATGTTAAGATAAAAGTCTTATGATCTGCATTTGCATTGAGGCTTTTAGCATTTCAGATTTTGGACTGCGATGTTATACCTAACTATATATGATGTGGAAAGACTATTCACTGAACTATATATGATGTGGAAAGACTATTCACTGAACTATATATGATGTGGAAAGACTGTTCACTGAACTATATATGATGTGGAAAGACTGTTCACTGAACTATATATGATGTGGAAAGACTGTTCACTGAACTATATATGGAAATGATGTGGAAAGACTGTTCACTGAACTATATATGATGTGGAAAGACTGTTCACTGAACTATATATGATGTGGAAAGACTGTTCACTGAACTATATATGATGTGGAAAGACTGTTCACTGAACTATATATGATGTGGAAAGACTGTTCACTGAACTATATATATATGATGTGGAAAGACTGTTCAATTTCATCCCCTCCCCGACTAAAATTTATATACGAAGTCACCTCCTGCATGTGGTGTACAAAATTAATTACCCCCTCCCCATAATTTTTAAGCATAATTATTAAATATTTTCATGTACAAAATTGATGACCTCCCTACCAACCCAGGAACAAAATGGGTTGACCCCACCCCCCAATCATCATCACACCCTCTAGCCATACATTATATGAACGGTCCCAGAATACAAACGATAAAAATGCACAAATAAAAGACCAGCGACTTTCTTTCAACTTTGTCCTAAAACAAAGGGATATATATTTTCTATTCAAATGACGGCTTTTACAACAGCCTTCCCCAATCCCTTCCTCCCACCCCTCCCTCCCACCCCATTCCCCTCACCCCATTCCCTCATGCTACACATGAAAGATTCTTGTTAAATCAGTCTGCGTTTGGGCTGATTTGAAGGCCGACTTTCAGTTAAACACAGTTGATAAAGAAAATATGCATTGTACAGAACGAAAAAGTACCATATAAAAAAACTTTAATTATACTCACAATTCTGTGTAAGAAGAGTACGTAATGGACCCAAATGATGGGGTTTTAAATCCATTTCCATTACACTTGACACATTCTGACGTGGGAGAAGTTCTCATATGCCTTTCACCGAAACTTCCAAACGACCTTATTCGATCACAACAGCTGTGCTTCTACTAATACCTCACATCTGAGGGGATACTGATACTGAATGATGCATCAACCTGGTATCTCGCGTATATTCGCAGCTGCGTAAAACAGCAGTCATGTTTGTAACGTACATTCATAAATTTTTAAAATCACCTTTCACAAGCCTATGGGACAAATGAAGTAAGTTGTTTATCAGCGTATCGGTTTGTGAACATGAAATATTCAGTTAGGACACTACGCGCGCCATCCTACGATGTACCGGACATGGAGGGCGTGATGTCCTGGCTGTATATTTCGCCGTATTAAGGTCACATAACGGTAGTTCGCGACCACAACATCCTTCATTATCCGGTATGATATACGTATAACATTACTCATGGATAGATTCGTCATAATTCAAGAGTCAAAAGTCGATCTTTGTGGCTTAGCTACTGAAGAGGGAGTACAATACAAATCAGAGGCACGAGGCAAAACTTGGGAATATTTTCTCGCTATTTCAATTATTATAATTTGTTCGTTACTTCGATTTTCCCCGTTGCTTTGAGTATTTTTCTCGTTACTTCAAGTTCTTTCAAAACTTGAAATTTCGAATGTTTGTGAGAGAAACTTGAAGGAAAGAGAGAAAATATTTGAAGTAACGAGAAATTAATCGAAATTTCAAGTTTTGAAAGAAAATTGCAGTAAAAACGAGTATATATTCAAAGCAAAGAGAAAATAATCGGAGTAACTTGAAAGTAAATGAAATAACGAGAAAGTAACTTAAAAACGAGGAGGTAACTGAAATAACGAGAAAGTAACTGAAAAGAAAAAATACACCGATAAAGTAATCGAAGCAAGGAGAAATGTCGCTGAAAAAAATATTCTATGCTACAAAAGTGGTCGCAATTAGATTTTCATAGTGTGTCACTAAAAGCAAATACATCTACACTTTGAAATCGTTGCAAAATATAATACCAAATATGAAAAGAATCTATTGAACGGTTCTTAAGATATTCCAATTCGTACGGACGGACGGAGCCTAATACTATATTCCCCTGCTTCGCGCTAAACGCGCGGCGGGAATAATAAATAACATAACAAGTACTGTCTGTTGTCGGTCAGATATTGGCGTTTGTTTGTTGGAAATGTTTTTCAGGATAGGACGGTCGGCCCACAATCATCAAACTGAACAGCATTTATAACGTGCAATCTGCATAACGTGTATAGTCATCTTGACTTATGTAGGAATCAGTTTTAATAACTCTTTCAAATTTTTCAAGAAATATAACAGTGTTAAGGAACTAACAATTTAAACTCGCTTCCTTGTTGCTTAACGCCACACTCAAAAAGCAATATTGCGGCTAAATAACCGCGCGTCCGAAGAAGCGACTGAATAATGTTATGAGCGACGATCCCCATAGTCGAAGTAGCAGAAGACGCCACACTCAAGCTTGACCACGAGGTGCATGACGTCACCCCACGACAAGCGCATCTAGCCCTGACCTGATCGGACCGGGAAATCCCGGGGGGTTCCAGTCTGACACTGACACTGACACTGACAATGACAGAGCGCACATGATATTGCTATGCCCAACATCAACGTCTGTGTTAAGTCTTATCATATCAACGTCAACTTCTCAGGGTAGGTTATCATCACTACACGGGTATTTCCAACAGCTTTAGACATTACAGAAATAGTGATAGAACTATGAAACTGAAATATGATAAATTGCCTTGATCATAAATAACAATCTCAAAATTTTTCAAATTTTTAGCTTTATCATACTGCGCAGATACACTTTAACAGATTTAAATGTTAGATTTGTATATGTGGGTTAGACTGTCCCTTGTGGATACATCTATGTATAGTTCATCAACCACAGTGTTGGGTTCATCGACCGTTAACAGCGCAATCACGTCGCCAAGCCCACTGCCGAGTTGGTCTCGTCTACCGGATCTCGCCGTGTACCAGCGATTACACCTGTTAACTTCTCGCTATTGAGAAACGGTACAATCTATACACAACACTCTTACACAACACAGAATATTGTAATTGTGTGTAACCTACCTCTATTTTGCCGTCAGTGAAACTGTTTCGATCGTATCCAACTGTCGTTCTCTATACGTGTACAACGATCTCACAGCCAAACTGCGACTCTTCAAGTCGGTGTAGGTCTGATTCCCGGAACTTGCCGAAAGTGGGTCATGTTTGCTAGAGCGAGGTGAAATAAATGTATTGCATAGAAGTGATACTCGTCATTCGCGGGCTCCACCGTAATATAACACGTGACGGGGTGACCAGACCGTTGAGAGGGGGGTGGGCGAGTGTTTGTGAGGGGTGCTCACTTCCCCCTGTCTGTCCCGTCAGCGTGGTGACCTAAATTGTGAGATGTCAGTGTGCGCGCGATTTTAATTCTCAGCTCCCCGGGAAACATACAACCCAAACCGCCTGCTAGGCACCAGCAGGATAATTGCAGAGTGGCCGATGTAGATTATTTGTTTTAATTTCAATCCAAGCATTTTACATATATTTAATACGCAATAAGTTCTTTGTTTCCTTTAGACGTATACTAGTCACCTACAACACATTATATCTATCTTTGTGTGTCACCTACAACACACTATATCTATGTTTGTGTGTCACCTACAACACACTATATCTATCTTTGTGTCACCTACAACACACTATATCTATGTTTGTGTGTCACCTACAACACACTATATCTATCTTTGTGTGTCACCTACAACACACTATATCTATCTTTGTGTCACCTACAACACACTATATCTATGTTTGTGTGTCACCTACAACACACTATATCTATGTTTGTGTGTCACCTACAACACACTATATCTATGTTTGTGTGTCACCTACAACACACTATTTCTATGTTTGTGTGTCACCTACAACACACTATATCTATGTTTGTGTGTCACCTACAACACACTATATCTATGTTTGTGTGTCACCTACAACACACTATATCTATGTTTGTGTGTCACCTACAACACACTATATCTATGTTTGTGTGTCACCTACAACACACTATATCCATGTTTGTGTGTCACCTACAAAGTACCTAAGCTTTCTATGCTTTGGCGGAGCAGTGGGGGTAGTCTAGTGGTTAAAGTGTTCGCTCGTCACGTCGGATATCCGGGTTCGATTCCCCGCATGGATACAATGTGTAAAGCTTATTTCTTATACCAGATCATAAGATAGTAAAGTGGTCTTCACAAGCTAGTTAAATACGGGATCGGGTGGTCAGGCTCGCTGACTTGGCTGCCACATGTCATCGATCCCAGATTGATGCTCATGCTGTTGATCCCTGGATTGTCTGGTCAGGACTCGATTACTTATGCACACCGCCGCCATATAGCTGGAATATTGCTGAGTGCGGCGTAAAACAACAAACAATCATCTATCAGCTAGCTAAATATCCATAAATGAAGCATGCAACTTTATGGATAACAACTTTTGTTTATTGCATAGAGCGATGTTTCGATGTCGATTCTTACACCGTTATCAAGCTAAAAGTGACCACTACCAAATAATGAGAATTATATACATTGTACATAGTATGTTTTTGACAATCAGATTAACATGGTATATGTTATGACAAACAGCAGATTAACATTAACAACAGCATGTAACTGCATCGAAACGTCGCTCTGAATAAACAAGAAGCTGTCATCCATTAATTAAGTTGTATACTTCATTTTTGACACACCAACTTCTAGACAGCCGATCAAACAATTAAATATCCTTAATCATGCTGATGTCCTGTAAAAGTACAATGACGTATGTTTACAGTGTTTTATTACGTTACTAAATGTATGTAATGTCACAAAAATGTAAGTTGTGACGTAAATCTTTACAACGTTAGCTAAATAGCCGTAAGAATTTCTATCACTAGTGAATGATGTGAGGAGAGACGAATTGGATTTTAACGTCGTAATCTCGACCTTCCGCTCTCCGGGCGGACGCTCTAACCACTACACCACGGTGGCGGTTCTAGTGAATGGATGAAATATGTCGTCTGACTTGCTGAATGTTTCACAAACTTTTGGATAAAAAAGACCTTCTGTTGCGTCCTGATTCCGGTGTAATGTTAGACTAACATTTAGTCTCTGAAATGAACATATTTTACAGAAAAATATCATCACCAATGTAGCTTTTCAACTAGAACGACCCGTGAAGATCCGGGTTAGAATTGACTGTCGTAAGAGGCGACTAACGGGATCGGGTGGTCAGGCTCGCTGACTTGGTTCCCTGTTGATTACTGGATTGTCTGGTCCAGACTCGATTATTTACAGACTGTCGCCATATAGCCTGAAAAGTGCTGAGTGCGGCGTAAAACTAAACTCACTCACTCATTAAGCTAGAACGAAAATGATAAAGCTTGGCTCCTATTTTAAACTTTATTTAATATTTACAAAGTCCAATTTATCTTAAAACGTTATCAAGACCCCGGCGCTTCCATAACTGGAAGTATAAATTGTTATTCACTCATTTCTAAGTCAGGTGGTAGCTTCATCCCTAAATGGTGACGTGAGTACCTATGTGCATGGTGAGGTGAGTACCGTGTGCATTGTGAGGTGAGTACCGTGTGCATGGTGAGGTGAGTACCGCGTGCATGGTGAAGTGAGTACCTATGTGCATGGTGAGGTGAGTACCTATGTGCATGGTGAGGTGAGTACAGTGTACATGGTTAGGTGTGTACCGTGTGCATGGTGAGGTGAGTACCGTGTGCATGGTGAGGTGACTACCGTGTGCATGGTGAGGTGAGTACCGTGTACATGGTGAGGTGAGTACCGTGTCTCATGGTGAGGTGAGTACCGTGTGCATGGTGAGGTAAATACCGTGTCCATGGTGACGTAAATCTTATGTGCATGGTGACGCAAAATACTATGTGCATGGTGATGTAAATACTATGTGAATGGTGACGTAAATACCGTGTGAATGGTGACGTAAATACTATGTCCATGGTGACGTAAATACTATGTGCATGGTGACGTAAATGCTATGTGCATGGTGACGTAAATACTATGTGCATGGTGACATAAATACTGTTCATGGTGACGTAAATACTATGTGCATGGTGACATAAATACTATGTGTTCATGGTGACGTAAATACTCATGTGCATGGTGACATAAATACTATGTGCATGCATATGTGGTGACATAAATACTATGTGGTTCATGGTGACGTAAATACTATGTGCATGGTGATGTAAATACTATGTGCATGGTGACGCAAAATACTACCATGCATGGTGACATAAATACTGTTCATGGTGACGTAAACACCTATGTGCATGGTGACGCAAATACCATGTGCATGGTGACGTAAACACTATCGCATGGTGACATAAATACCGTCTCATGGTGACGCAAATACTATGTGCATGGTGATGTAAATACCATGTACATGGTGACGTAAATACTATGTGCATGGTGACATAAATACCGTTCATGGTGACGTAAACACTATGTGCATGGTGACGTAAATACCTATGCGTGCATGGTGACGTAAATACTATGTGCATGGTGACGTAAATACTATGTGCATGGTGACGTAAATACTATGTGCATGGTGACGTGAATACTATAAGTTCATGGTGACGTAAATACTATGTGCATGGTGACGTAAATACTACGCATGGTGACGTGAATGGGTGCGCATGGGGACGTAAATTGACTATGTGCATGGTGACGTAAATACCATGTGCATGGTGACGTAAATATACGTGCATGGTGACGTGAAACACCATGCGCATCGTGACGTAAATAATATGCGCATGGTGACGTAAATTACCTATGTGCACGTGACGCAAATACTATGTGCATGGTGATGTAAATACTATGTGCATGGTGACGTGACGTGACTCAGGTTCATGGTGACGTAAATACCTATGTGCATGGTGACATAAATACCATGTGCATGGTGACATAAATACTGTTCATGGTGACGTAAATACTATGTGCATGGTGATGTAAATACTATGTGCATGGTGACGTAAATACTATGTGCATGGTGACATAAATACTGTTCATGGTGACGTAAATACTATGTGCATGGTGACGTAAATACTATGTGCATTGTGACGTAAATATCATGTGCATGGTGACGTAAATACCGTTCATGGTGACGTAAATACTATGTGCATGGTGATGTAAATACTATGTACATGGTGACGTAAATACTATGTGCATGGTGACATAAATACTGTTCATGGTGACGTAAACACTATGTGCATGGTGACGTAAATACTATGTGCATGGTGACGTAAATACTATGTGCATTGTGACGTAAATACTATGTGCATGTTGATGTAAATACTATGTGCATGGTGACGTGAATACTATGTTCATGGTGACGTAAATACTATGTGCATGGTGACGTAAATACTACGTGCATGGTGACGTGAATACTGTGTGCATGGGGACGTAAATACTATGTGCATGGTGACGTAAATACTATGTGCATGGTGACGTAAATACTACGTGCATGGTGACGTAAACACTATGTGCATGGTGACGTAAATACTATGTGCATGGTGACGTAAATACTATGTGCATTGTGACGTAAATACTATGTGCATGGTGATGTAAATACTATGTGCATGGTGACGTGAATACTATGTTCATGGTGACGTAAATACTATGTGCATGGTGACATAAATACTATGTGCATGGTGACATAAATACTGTTCATGGTGACGTAAATACTATGTACATGGTGATGTAAATACTATGTGCATGGTGACGTAAATACTATGTGCATGGTGACATAAATACTGTTCATGGTGACGTAAATACTATGTGCATGGTGACGTAAATACTATGTGCATTGTGACGTAAATACTATGTGCATGGTGACATAAATACTGTTCATGGTGACGTAAATACTATGTGCATGGTGATGTAAATACTATGTACATGGTGACGTAAATACTATGTGCATGGTGACATAAATACTGTTCATGGTGACGTAAACACTATGTGCATGGTGACGTAAATACTATGTGCATGGTGACGTAAATACTATGTGCATTGTGACGGTGCATGTTGACGTAAATACATGTGCATGGTGACGTGAATACTATGTTCATGGTGACGTAAATACTATGTGCATGGTGACGTAAATACTATGCATGGTGACGTGAATACTGTGTGCATGGGGACGTAAATACTATGTGCATGGTGATGTACTATGTGCATGACGTAAATACTGTGCATGGTGACGGTGCATGGTGACGTAAATACTATGTGCATGGTGACGTAAATACTATGGTGACGTAAATACTATGTGCATGGTGATACTATGTGCATGGTGACGTAAATACTATGTGCATGGTGACGTAAATACTATGTGCATGGTGACGTAAATACTACGTGCATGGTGACGTAAATACCATGTGCATGGTGATATGAACACTACGTTCATGGTGACGTAAATATTATGTGCATTGTGACGTGAATACTGTGTGGATGATTTTGGAAATACAATTGCGCAGCAATCCAAAATGAAGTGAAAACCTTAAAGGAGATAAGACATTTTTTTACATTTTTCTGCTCGCAATTAGTTACCGTTAGGGGTCTGACGGCGGTCACCAGGCAGATAATATATTTCACCCACAACTTGTCTTTGCAACGTTTGAACTCGTCACCAGCAGAGTGTACGGGAGATGATTCACCCCGAGCGTCAGTCTCGTGAAACTAGTAGTGAGTGAGTGGGTTTAGTTTTACGCCGCACTCAGCAATATTCCAGCTATATGGCGGCGGTCTGTAAATAATCGAGTCTGGACCAGACAATCCAGTGATCAACAGCATGAGCATCGATCTGCGCAACTGGGAACCGATGACATGTGTCAACCAAGCCAGCGAGCCTGACCACCCGATCCCGTTAGTCGCCTCTTACGACAGGCATGGGTTACTGAAGGTTTATTCCAACCCGGACCTTCACGGGTCCGTGAAGCTAGTAAATGACTTACACCCTACTAGTGTGACATGCAGCTATCACTGGGGCCAAAGGGGTCAGTCGGTTGTATTTTCCTTCCCTTCAAAGTATTCATACATGATTACTTACAATCTGATTGTATCATATATACCACCTACAACATAGACACACTCACGTGAAAACAGGTACAACGACACAAAACACCCACAAGTCAAAACATGTACATCAGAATGATGCTGAAGTTCTTTTGGTCTGAAGAGTCTGTGTTTTCAACAAAATAGGACATCATTATTGTCATTTCCTTATTTCTGTCAAATTTCATACAAGGACTTGTGAAATGGCAACTATATGCATAACAAACGTTTATCATTCTCTAGAATATACCTGTTAGATATAGGTAGACATATATGCATCTTGTCACGTTTACATTCTGATATGTATATACATGGAGGGTATCTGGGAAGTCGGACACCAGGTGCTCTCAGTTGACAGTAGTTTCTGATGCTTTTACTCGGCAAAGGTCCTTTGGGTTTTCGAAGCCAGGTGTCATTAACATCTATGGTATGCTGATTTTCTATTTAAGGTTTGTTAATCAACATCTGGGATAAATCTGACACAGCCACGTAACTGTCATCAGCTGACAGTGGGGCCTGCTTCTGTTCCTCAGGTGGTTGGGGTGGTTGAGGTGGCTGAGGTGGTTGAAGTGGCTGAGGTGGTTGGAGCGGCTGAGGTGGTTGAAGTGGCTGAGGTGGTTGAATTGGCTGAGGTGGTTGGAAGTGGCTGAGGTGGTTGGAGCGGCTGAGGTGGTTGGAGCGGCTGAGGTGGTTGGAGCGGGCTGAGGTGGTTGAATTGGCTGAGGTGGTTGGAGCGGCTGAGGTGGTTGGAGCGGCTGAGGTGGCTGAAGGGGCTGAGGTGGTTGAATTGGCTGAGGTGGTTGAATTGGCTGAAGTGGCTGAGGTGGCTGAATTGGCTGAGGTGGTTGAAGTGGATGAGGTGACTGAAGTTTGACAATAGAGATGTAAGGGCCGTCAGTAGAATTATTTTCACGAGGAGGTTTGGGAGATTTGTTGTGATTTTCAGATGCGTCTCGAGGGTGTAATGTGTCAAAAGGGACATACGGGCCATCAGTGGAGTGACTTTCGCGACGACCTGTAGATTCGTCTGGAGGCTGAATTTCTTCAAGATGGATAAATGGGCCATCATTGGAAGGACTTCCACTTGGTAGTTGGTGGGTTAAGTTATGTCCTCGAGGAAAAGTATTCACCTCATCAGACTGAAACTGATTGAAGGATGCATCACCAGAAGAGGGAGCTGGTGACTGATGAGAGAGAGGGTGAGAGTTGGGGGCTGATAGGAAATCTGTCTGGGATGAGACATAGGAGCTGTAGGTTGGCGGTGGGGTCTCCAACTTCTGGTCATCAGGAGATCGAGGTGGTTCGTATGGAGGAGGAGGGCTTGATGCTGAGTCCTGCCCTGAAGAATGTGAAGCATCACAAGATGGCCTTCCCAACATAAGTGACAGTTTGTCCCTCGTAATGTAATCTGTGCCAGGTTCCGGTCTGGTGGATTCGGAGTTGCCTGACAGAGCCAGTTTCGAATAGCTGTCCACCAGGGTGGATGATGGATCAGCTTTATTCTTCATTGATGTCTTGGCCTTGTCACTGTCTCTGTCTGAACATGAAGTGTCGCCAAGCTCACGTAGAGGCCTCACAATCTCCGATGCAAGTTGGGCAGTTTCTACATTTGGCCTCGGCTTCTCAGACGTGTCAGTTCCCAGGGTTGTTGGATGGGTCACTTCACCTTCACGATCCACTGTGTTTTCTTTGTTAGCTGTGCTCTTTTCAATAGATGATGGATATTTTGGCTGAATTCCCTTTTTCAAAATATTATCATTAGTTTCCATGGTAACAGTTTCCCTGATGACATGTTCCTCATTCTTGTCGACCTGCAAAGAAATGGCTTATCGTTTTCACCAAACGGCATTTTTTCAGTCAACAAATGTAATATGTCACGGTCATAAACAGAAGATAATTGTCTTCAATAAAATTGTCTTGTTTTGGACTGTCAATCGAAAACAATATTCTGCTCGGATGTTATCATGCAACATTAACTGGTTGCAATAGATATTGATTCCCACTGTACAGCTGGCATGTCTCACTCTTAAACAGTGATGACACCAGGTGTTCGCCGGAAGACACCCTGACTGTACTCTTAGTTAAAGTCATCTTAGGAAATAAATCTTCTGCAGTATCTCTGGATTTTAAACACGTTGTTCTTGTAGTTTCATTCTTGATTTTACCAACTTACCCCCGTTAATGTTGGCAGCTTAATATCCAAACGCATACCTCTGTAGGTCCTCTGCAGTTTCCTAGTAGAAGTATATGGAGATGATGAATGTCAGCTACAGGACATGTGTGTTTTACGTCACTGTCATGAATGTCATTGGGCGGTGGGGTAGTCTAGTGGTTAAAGCGCTCTCTATTCCCGCCGAAGACGGGTTCGATTCCCTATATGGGTACAATGTGTGAAGCCCATTTCTGGTGTTCCCAGCCCTGATATTGCTGGAATATTGCTAACAGCGGCGTAAAACTGAACTCACTCATGAATGAATGTCATGAGAGAATGGAATGTTTCTCCAAAGACGATAACTACTGTCTGATAATATGACAGTCAGTTCTTTGGTCTGAGGATAAACACAAATGTCTGCTGGGAATACACTGTTACGGCTTTACCCATCCTACAATGATCATATTTTGTCTGCTGTTAAATGTGACGAACTTCCGTCGTATTATTATTATAAATCTACACTGAAGCATGTGACACCAACTGAAGATCTGTTTGGAACATTCCTATGAGAGAACCTGACCTCCCACCATGGCGTGTCTGTAATTGTTCCAGATCACTACTCCTGAGACAAGAGAGGTACCTGACTAGGTAAGTCCTTCTACAAGGAAACTGGACCTCCATAGTCAGTGACGTGCCTTGTCCCGGGAAGATGGTACTGGCGTCATTACCCTTGTCAATGTCACTTACCGTATGCAGCAGACGACAAATGATACAAGTGCAACGCAGCCGAATACTCCACCCATGGATATGCCTGCAATCTGGCTCGATGTTAAAACTGTGAAAGATATTCTAAGATATACAATTGTTTCACAAAGAATTCTTTGCTACTTATTCAGGTTTCCTTCGCAAGTAATTTTGTTTGTATGAAAAATTCAGTCATGCTTGAAGCTCCATTATTTACGGTTCGCGGCCATGTAGCTTGGAAGTCACTTTGGGCAGCCTTCGTTAAACAAACAAACAAACAAATAAACACCTTACACAGGCCCGGGATCTGTTCTCGAAATCCACGCGGGATGATGACAGCATGTTTGGAGCTGGACATTATTTATGGCACACTCTTAGCGGGGACAAAAAGATGTGCACCAACATAGCCTTTTTACACCGCAATGTTTACACTGTCTTGGCGTCAGCTTTGCCGTCAGAAGGATGCCTTCCATGAACCCTTCAAAGAGTTATCTCCCAAAACTTAGACCTCCAAAACTTAGACCTCCATATGTTAGACAGCCAAAACTTAGACACTAAAGAAGGGGATTAATTCAGACAACACCCATGGCTGAAATAGAACAGTACTAATTAGTGTTCCCTGCTGAGTAGACCTAGCTTGTAAATAAATAAAACAATTGAAACTGTAAAGTATGTGTAAATGAAGGACATTTAGAAGTGGGATGCATAAGAAAAGCAAGATTTATGGATGTCAACTTCATAACACGACGTTTCGGAGTGTATGCTTACTCCTTCATCACCTGGACTCTCACCTGATGATTTTGTGTACAAATCATTTATTCTCAAGCAACATTTTCAAAATGTTATGACTATGGCTGCTATATAATTCTACATTGTGAACATTATATGTACAACAGGAATCAGTTCTGTTCCAAACTTTTAGATCTTTTTCATGTCAATGTATCTGTACAAATAGAATAACTGCCAGAAGATGAAGGTGGAGGTGAAATACTGGTTACTGAACACATAGATGAAATGTCGTGGAGATGTATGATTGTCCTACATTGTGAATATCTGTATTCCATGGTATCCTCACTCTAGTGTGTATTTTAGATCCTACCTTGCCTTTGCTCTGTACATGTGGGTACCCGGTACACCTACACAAGCTACTTGGCTCTGACCTATTCAAGTTCACGAGCCTAATATAAGAACTATATGAACGTCACATCTAGATAATATTGCAATCATCATTGCTGTAATGTTTACCACCTTAAGCCTTCATGCCATCTTCACCCGTGAATGTCCGGGTTAGAATTGGTCTTCAGTAACCCATGCTTGTCGTAAGAGGCGACTAACGGGATCGGATGGTCAGGCTCGCTGACTTGATTAACACATGTCATCGGTCCCCAATTGCGCAGATCGATGCTCATGCTGTTGATCACTTGATTGTCTGGTGAGGTGAGGTGAGGTGAGGTGAAAGTGGGTTTAACGTCTTGCTTGAGAATATTTCACTTATATGACGACGTGCATGCGTGTGTATGTGTATGTGCGGCTGCTTGTACTAGCCAAGACTTAAGCTGGTTTTATAGTGCTAGCCCACTGAGATAGCATGAATACCCAACTCAAACACATTATACTGACCGAGCCGACCAGTCCTTGTTGTACCCATTAATGCCGAGCGCCAGGCAGGGACCAACAAGTACCATATTTTAACGTCTTGTGGTATGACGCGGTCGGGGATCGAACCTGCGACCTTCCTCTCTCCGGGCGGACGCTCTAACCACTACGCCACGGAGGCGGTCGGATTGTCTGGTCCAGACTCGATTATTTACAGACCGCCGCCATATAGCTGGAATATTGCTGAGAGCGGCATAAAACTAAACTCCCTCCCTCACTCCTTATTATATGTAGATGGCTATCAGTGACTGAGTGTTGAGCCTAGAACGTATTACTTTCACCATTACAAGCCCCTGTGCATTTACCGACTTTATTCAGAGTGAAATATTGAATAACGTCTGCAGGAGAATAGAGCAAAACTGTTACTGGGCTATGGCCTCTTGTTTACTACCGGCTGGGCGAACCGTGAAACATATTTTATGAACGTGGATGAAATACATATATTCCTACAACTGAGAAATGCTGTCTGAAATTATATATTCAGTTAATTTTACTTATACATACAAGGAATATATATGTTATTAATCAAATGTCATATTCCTTACCACTGTTTACAACAACTTTGTAATGAGATATTCCTTACCACTGTTTACAACTTTGTAATGAGATATTCCTTACCACTGTTTACAACAACTTTGTAATGAGATATTCCTTACCACTGTTTACAACAACTTTGTAATGAGATAGTCCTTACCACTGTTTACAACAACTTTGTAATGAGATAGTCCTTACCACTGTTTACAAATCTGTAATGAGATGTTCCTTACCACTGTTTACAACTTTGTAATGAGATATTCCTTACCACTGTTTACAACTTTGTAATGAGATATTCCTTACCACTGTTTACAACAACTTTGTGATGAGATATTCCTTACCACTGTTTACAACAACTTTGTAATGAGATATTCCTTACCACTGAATACATCTTTGTAATGAGATATTCCTCACCACTGTTTACAACTTTGTAATGAGATATTCTTTACTACTGTTTACAACAACTTTGTAATGAGATATTCCTTACCACTGTTTACAACTTTGTAATGAGATATTCCTTACCACTGTTTACAACAACTTTGTAATGAGATATTCCTTACCACTGTTTACAACTTTGTAATGAGATATTCCTTACCACTGTTTACAACAACTTTGTAATGAGATATTCCTTACCACTGTTTACAACAACTTTGTAATGAGATAGTCCTTACCACTGTTTACAAATCTGTAATGAGATGTTCCTTACCACTGTTTACAACTTTGTAATGAGATATTCCTTACCACTGTTTACAACTTTGTAATGAGATATTCCTTACCACTGTTTACAACAACTTTGTGATGAGATATTCCTTACCACTGTTTACAACAACTTTGTAATGAGATATTCCTTACCACTGTTTACATCTTTGTAATGAGATATTCCTCACCACTGTTTACAACTTTGTAATGAGATATTCTTTACTACTGTTTACAACAACTTTGTAATGAGATATTCCTTACCACTGTTTACAACTTTGTAATGAGATATTCCTTACCACTGTTCACAACAACTTTGTAATGAGATATTCCTTACCACTGTTTACAACTTTGTAATGAGATGTTCCTTACCACTGTTTACAACAAGTTTGGTGATGGGGTCACTCTCTGGCCCCTCCCCTGTCCTGGACACCGCCCGGAGAGTCACCCTGTACTTCACTCCAGCTGACAGACCCTGGATCACATGGCTCTTCTCGGTGTTAGACACATTGACGATCACAGAAGGACCTAAAACACCAAAGATCATGCTAACAAGTAATCATCAGTGACTCACACTGTACAGAGACTGGCGTCTACATTTATCAACACGGACATACAAAATTACAAGGTGACGCTGAATTAAATATGATTCCTTGAAATGTTGTCGTACCCGCACATCCACCCTGGTTGTTGACCGTGCAGTGGGACACCATGTAGTAGCGGACATAGACGGGAATCTCGGCACATCCCAACCTCTGCCACTCCAAGCTCAAGGCGTTGTCCGGTTGGTGCCTGGAGAAGGTCACTCCTCGTGGTGACGGGGGCTCTGTGGATATGGTTAATGAACTATTCTTTCGTTTGTTACGTCTCAGGTCAAGGGATACACCTTCTGTGCTCACTGACACACGGAACCGGAACTTGTTAATTCCCTGAAAGCATCCCTAAAGGATTATAAAAGATGAAAGTATGGATTTGTTTACTGCCAAAGGACGCAATATTCTCGAGTATATCATTGCGGTCTGTTAATGAAATTAAGAGAGCCAACCATTGGTTGAAAGCATGAGTAAAGGTTACAGTGAACCACAACGAACCATGTTACAGAACCCGACCAACCTTTGCCTCTTGCGACCAGTTGTGCGCATTTTCTGATCCTTGGGGACGGTGGGATAGCCAAGTGGTTAAAGCGTTCGCTCGTCACGCCGAAGACACGGGTTCGATTCCCCGCATGGGTACAATGTGTGAAGCCCATTGCTGGTGTCCCCCCTGCCGTGATATTGCTGGAATATTGCTGAGCGCGGCGTAAAACTAAACTCACTCTGATCCTGGCGTGTCAGTTACACCAATGGTTGAAACACGCCGTTACTTTATTGAATGTTCTTACTGTGATTCCTGCGCCACACACAGGTATTCCACCTGATTCCACTGCTCACGTTCCCATTGGCTGTCTCCTTTTCCACTGATACCCCGACCATCTTGTTGTCAAGGTTACTATCTGGCACCTTCCATTCATACTGTCTGATATTAGGTGGAAAAGATAGCCAATGGATGCTATCCTGAAAAACATGAATATCGCGTTGAGGGCTTGTTGATTGATCACAGTAAATGTAACGGTCTTGTTCTGACACCCAGGACATCCTGAACGTTTATAACAATCGATATCCAACGTGCACGCTTTCCACTATGACCACGATCACGTGCACGTGCCTACGTCACCCATAACCACCATATTGAAACCGGACTGTGTGTACAATAGGAGTGGATACACTTTGCACGTTGCCTGATATAACATCTACTGATAGTGTAGACAGGTGTAGTAGTACTAAATCCGTACATGTCACCGTCCGCTATTACCTAGGAGTTACAAATGGTCTGATAGACAACTCCAGAGAATCCGTTGATACCGGAAGTGGCACCAATGAAGAAGGGTGAGTTGATTCCACTTTCGGAATCATATTCGACTGAAGACTCTGCCTTAAGCCAACATTATGCTTGATGTATACATTTTCAATTTTGAATAATGACCAATTGTTGCGTCAGTTTTTACATGCACGTTGAGAAAAGCCGATTTTCTGGGATGAGAATCAACTACAAGAACACACCCTCACAACAGTCAAGGGGAAGGATATAGCGACATCACTTGTGTGGGTCGGCAAGGATGTAAAGAGTGAGAAGATCCGTGTAAGGCAGGGATAGTGGTGGTGACCACTTCACAACCACCGACGACTGAGATACCGTTATACTCCACAACCAAATAAATATACAAAATATATAGACATTGTATCAATTATATAAAACGTCCTTTCACTATTACATCAGGGGTGGAAATAACTTTAAAATTACTAGTGTACTCCGGTACAGTGGCACATGTAAAATCACTTGCCCTGATAATTTTTCCACTATACCGTCCGTTTTCTTGTTGATTTTTTAAGCAAACAACATACATGACCATCAAACAATGTTGATTCACTGCCAACAAGATTGATGTATACTGTACCGCTAAGTGGCTGAGCTGACACTGAGTGAGTTCGCTAATCACGTCGTTAATTGGGTACCTTGGGGGTAGTAAATCAGTTCGCTATAGCCGTTAATTCGCTACTCACGAGTTCGTTATTCACATATAATTTCAATGATATTATAAGGACTGTTGACGGGACTTTTAAATTTGTTCGCTATATCCGTTTGTACACTATATCCGTGTTCGCTATAACCATGTTCTACTGTAATTAACATTGGAAAGTCAACTGGGCACGGTACAGTGTGATTTACAAATTTGCTTGCCCGACAGAAAAAAACACTGGACTCGGACGTCGGGCAATGGGTTATTTCCACCCCCGTACATTTATATGTAGCCATCACATTATTTAATTTGTTAGAGGACTGGGTATCATCTTGACATGCAAGACATGGTTGTAACTAGCAAGTCAATAGTCTGGTTCGGGTAACTGTAGTAGGATGTTCTGGTAACTGTAGTAGGATGTTCTAGTAACTGTAGTAGGATGTTCTGGTAACTGTAGTAGGATGTTCTGGTAACTGTAGTAGGATGTTCTGGTAACTGTTCATGGTAACTAAGGAACCGCCACCCCCGCCCCCAATAAAAAAAAAAAATATATAGAAAATATATATAAAAAAATAAATAAAATAAAAAGTAACCTAAAACAAAAATGGTAATTAAATAATACTATTCCTACCTCACATTTGGAGGCGATCTTGGACCCATTGCAGTAGTACAAGGTGTAACCTGTGACTCTCCCGTGGTGGGGGTCACGTGACCCTTGTGGAACCCCCCAGGTAATGTACAGGGTGGAGCTGTCGGCCTCTACCACGATTTCTGAGTGGAATGGCATTTCTGCAATAAAAACAACATGATTTGTACTGTGAAATTTCGAGTAAACAGGGCTATTGTGAGTGTTGTAAAACTTAGTAGGGTATGACACAGAATCGTCATCGAACCTATAGCCATTTCAGCAAGTTATACCCAAGGATGCTTGACCCGTAGGTGCCGTCCGAGGCGTGGGCCAATTCTAAAATTGATGACATCGTACTAACATTAATAGCACATGCACTGGGAAGTCTGTAAATGTGTCATACATGTCATACGGCAAATCTTCATAAACTGGATGCAACTTTTACATTTCAAAACTTTAAGCGTAGCTCAGAGCAATGCTAAAAGGAAAGAACTAATTGACCAAACAAAACAATGCACTGATCTCCTTATTCTCATGTCTGTATGATGATGAACTGATCTCCTTATTCTCACGTCTGTATGATGATGAACTGATCTCCTTATTCTCACGTCTGTATGATGATGAACTGATCTCCTTATTCTCATGTCTGTATGATGATGAACTGATCTCCTTATTCTCATGTCTGTATGATGATGAACTGATCTCCTGTATGATGATTATTCCTCATGTCTGTATGATGATGAACTGATCTCCTTATTCTCATGTCTGTATGATGATGAACTGATCTCCTTATTCTCATGTCTGTATGATGATGAACTGATCTCCTTATTCTCATGTCTGTATGATGATGAACTGATCTCCTTATTCTCATGTCTGTATGATGATGAACTGATCTCCTTATTCTCATGTCTGTATGATGATGAACTGATATCCTTATTCTCATGTCTGTATGGTGATGAACTGATCTCCTTATTCTCATGTCTGTATGATGATGAACTGATCTCCTTATTCTCATGTCTGTATGATGATGAACTGATCTCCTTATTCTCATGTCTGTATGATGATGAAGCCCTTAAGTCATTAAAGTGAGTGAATGTCTTTGTGTTGCCATGGGAAGCACATTTTTTTATTTTGTTGTTAAAACTGACGCAACAATTGGTCATTATGCAAATATAAAAACGCATACATCAACTATATGTTGACTTTGGGCAAAGAATTCCGGCCAATGCATTGATTTGGAAAGTTGTACAATAGCATCAATCTCGTCAATAAGTCTCCCAGACAAACCAGAGTTGACAGCATTAGCAAGGATTCGCACAAGGCATGGTGACGGACAGTCGGACATTGTTTCCACCTACTCCTCATGAAGGTTAACTAGTTTGTGTACCGGGAATCTATTCTTCTACGACTAAAGAATGGGTCCTGTAACTATGGAGGGCAACACTTTACTGCCGGTATTATCTGTTTCTATGGCAACATTTGTTATATTCTAATTTACTGATCCGCTGGGTTAAAACATACTTTGAAATATGTTTTCAATACAAGGCCTTTCATGTCATATACAGACCGAATACTAAAGTCGTAACAATAAAACAGGGAAACAAAAGCGATGATATTAAACCCACAAGAAATTCCAGTCAATGTATACATGTACACATGCGAACGCACGTGTATGTATCCGCACTTACTCGATAATATATAGAAAATATTCAGCCTTCATATATTAGGACTCTGGTGTCTTTCGACGAAGACAGGTGTCATATATACACATGGACAAACGTATCGCAACATGATCAGTATAGCATCAGTATATTACGATTAACCAAAACACCAATATCTTATCTTATAACTCATCCAATAACCTCGATTTAACGGACTATCCGGAAAATTGACTCTCGGGGAATAATTGAATATCAAATGTAAACGAAGAACCGTAAAAAAGAACGAAGAACCGTAGTATATTAACATCGGCAAGCATTAAATCATTTTGTAGTGCAGACAACTATAGTCGTATGACGTTTACAAGTGCGGCCAGTTTCAGGATTTGAGCCTACACATAACAATAGCCGAGCGTAATGTCAATAGCCGATGGATGACAACCACCACCTCTTGCAATAGTCCTCAGTGACGTCAGCATTCCGCATATCAATACCTTGCCATCTTTGAGCAGCTGTCAGATGACGAGGCCCCATATTTGCTTATCAACAAAGAAATCAACTGATTTTCCAAGTTATCGAGGCGTAAGAACAGTTTACTGAACTTGATATTTGCTTAATGACGGGTAAACGTATTGCACGTGAATCTCGCCATTGATTGTAGCACGTGCATATATAAAATCACTGTAAAATGCACCTGAACTGCGAAAATAATCATATAACCAAATCATAACTGTGATATGTATACATACGGGGATAAAGAATCACAGGTGTTGCGATATTTATTTCCATGTGTATATATGCAATAACAGTTGTTGCCTATACATGGCACATACTCACTGCTACAAGCAGGAATCACAATAGGTTTGGACTCTGCTGACACGCCCACTCGTGTTTCTCCTTTTAAGGTGATGCTATACTCCCGGTCACACCTGACCTTGAGGTCATACGATGTTGCTGACCCCTCCACCTTCATCGCCTTGCTAGTTCCATGATGTCTGTCTTCTTGCTTTATTGTGTACAGAGTTATCTCCCCATTGGACTCTTCAAAAGGTATTGGCTATTGTAAATAACAGAAAGTGGTTAGATGAGGTGAAGTGAAAACAATTCATTGAACACTGCTCGGAATGGCGGAACGTAACGTATCTAGAACATCATAATAATGAAAGGTCAGAGTTATCTCCCCATTGGGCGCACCAGGGACACTGTCAATACCTAATGAATGTTATAACAAGGCTGTATGTAAAAGTGTCTCGAAACCAAATAAATATGGATAATCGAAACTATTTCTTGCAGATATGTTTTGCTTGGGCGGTTTAATGTTTTTGTTGCTGTTTTGTTTGTTTGTTGTTTTACGCCGCACTCAGCAAAATCCCAGCTATATAGCGGCGGTCGGTAAATACTCGAGTCTGGACCAGTCAATCCTGTGGTCAACTGCATGAGCATCGATATACGTAAATGGGATGCGATGACATGTGTAGGTGTTTATCAAAAGTTTTTCTGTTGGTAGAGTCTGCACACAAAATTGGTGGGCTCGATCCCGTCACCTCGATAGCTTGGCGCTTTAGCCAGTTCGCCCACCACGCTCCCATGTGTTTATGTGTTTATGACGCTCATGAACATAGTTATGATGAACAAAGCTGTCTCAATTATCTCATGAATATCTGTAAAATAGGTCACTAGCTTGTAAAAAATAACTTTATCCCTAACGCAAGTCAAGCCTTGAAACAGTGTAAACATTGCCGAACAGACACGCATGGCGTCCCACACGACATATGTGATATGCTGAGAGTACTCACCCTCCAGTAGATCGTCGCAATGCACTGTGACGTCTCACAGTCGTTGTACACAAAGCTGCCTGTCTTCACTACAGGAACGCCGCTGGGTACTGTGGGTGGTGGAGTCAGTCAGTGAGTGAGTCAATGAGTGAGTGAGTGTATCGCTATCTACTGAGTGACTGAGTAAGCTATTGAGGTTGTGATATTTGAAAATTGTTTAATAACAAATATGATTTAAGTCACTGACCGTCTTCCAGTGTTTTTGCCGCTATGAAGGCCGGGTCGCTGTAAAAACCTGTAGTTTCATTAGATCCATATAGTAACGGGATACACGACACTTGCAGCTTGTAGTTCATGGCAGGGTGTAGGTCACACACAGTTACCTCCCTTACACTGGTGTTTAACTGAAAACATATGTAACATCAAAACTGAGCTTGACCATACAGACAAAAACAGCATACTTCGAAGCAGCCAATGAATATCTCTTTTACATTTTGGGTAGTATATAACAGGTAAGTGTGCAGGGTTACCTTTAAGACAGATCCCTGTTTCTGATGAACGTGCATCTACTGGAGCTAATGACTATCACTATCAAATATTGAATAGTATATTACAGGTGAATCTGCAGGGTTACATTGAAGAAAAATCCCTGTTTCTGATGAACGTGCATCTACTGGAGCTAATGACTATCCCTATCAAATGTTGAGTAGTATATTACAGGTGAATCTGCAGGGTTACATTTAAGAAAAATCCCTGTTTCTGATGAACGTGCATCTACTGGAGCTAATGACTATCCCTATCAAATGTTGAGTAGTATATTACAGGTGAATCTGCAGGGTTACATTGAAGAAAATCCCTGTTTCTGATGAACGTGCATCTACTGGAGCTAATGACTATCCCTATCAAATGTTGAGTAGTATATTACAGGTGAATCTGCAGGGTTATATTGAAGAAAAATCCCTGTTTCTGATGAACGTGCATCTACTGGAGCTAATGACTATCACTATCAAATGTTGAGTAGTATATTACAGGTGAATCTGCAGGGGTTACATTTAAGAAAAAATCCTGTTTCTGATGAACGTGCATCTACTGGAGCTAATGACTATCCCTATCAAATGTTGAGTAGTATAGTACAGGTGAATCTGCAGGGTTACATTTAAGAAAAATCCCTGTTTCTGATGAACGTGCATCTACTGGAGCTAATGACTATCCCTATCAAATGTTGAGTAGTATATTACAGGTGAATCTGCAGGGTTACATTGAAGAAAAATCCCTGTTTCTGATGAACGTGCATCTACTGGAGCTAATGATTATCCCTATCAAATGTTGAGTGTTATATTACTGGTGAGTCTGCAGGGTTACCTTTAAGACAGATCCCTGTTTCTGATGAACGTGCACGGTGTACATCATTCCCCACATGTACTGTTCATGGTTCCACCGCAGAGACAAGCACGTGCTGGTCCTGTTACCCACAGTCACCGACTGCACAGGAGCCGGTTCCACTGGAAACATAGAGGCAGATCCAAATTACGGATTTTTTTCCACAGAGATTATCTAAGGATCCTGTAACTGACGGTTGTATTAAGTTAAGAACCTTTTAACAGACTCGGATGTCCACTGTAAACACCTGTTGCTGTTCGTTGTGAACAACGGGTATTGGGTTGAGTGAGCTGGTGCACAGGGGCTTGTAAAGCTAAAACCTGCCACGAAAGTATATACTGTCACTGACGGGGTCTTAGATTTATATAAATGGATAAAACTTGGTGTGTTGACCTCGTTACACCTCTTTCCTTTAAAATAGTGCCGTTATGAAGACTCCGTCAGTGACGCTGAAGGGGTCGTTGTCGGCACGGGTACTACAGATATGTACCCCAGGTACGTTTCTGTATACAGAAACGTACCCTGGCCATAATGAGAATACAGAAACGTACCGTAGGGCGATTTCATTCCCATTGTGTCGTATTCTTGATCGGAATTGTCATACCGTTGTATTAGATACATTTGATTGCTTTATGTAAGTAATGAGAATACACAGTAACGGATATTTCGCGATGCATATGAATACTAATCGCAATCAGTTGAACGGGAACAACTACGTGCGGTTTTGGTTTTGGATTGCGGAATATGGACTCGTCTGCCTTTCAGGGTACCAGGTACGTTTCTGTATTTTGACTTTGTTTACATATCTGTATACAGAAACGTACCTGGGGTACGTATCTGTAGTACCTGTGCCGACAACGACACCTTCAGCGTCAGTGACAGTATAGATCGTGATGGCAGATTCTAGCGTTAAGTCCCTGTGGACTTGTGTTGGAATGTTTGTCTCATAATGTCGGGAACACATCAACACGAGCAGATGTCTGACATGTAAACCACTTGCCTTGACTCCAACACACAACCACTGAGTTGTTCAGTCGCCATACAATTGTTACAACGTCCCATGCCGTCGGTAAATGCCGAAACGATGTCAACCAAATGATAGATAGATCAGTGATCTGGGAGCCTATTCTAGCCCTTGTCCCCACGAAATGTGGGGTACAGCTACATTGTACACCCCAGAGTATTCGCTCGTTCTGAAAAAGGCTTGCTCATACACCACTGGATTGCAAGATGTAAATATTTCGCCGCCCTTTTTAAGGGCAGAGCTGATGTTGCGCAATATTGGAGAAGCGCCCGTAAAAGATTACGTTCCCCGGCCATTCGTGACCAATCCGTAACAAGCCGAATATCGAGGTTACGGAAAGGGGCGAGTTGGGACGAAAGCCAAGAAGTCATTCGTGACCAACTCGTGTTATTCCGGGACAAGCCGAATAGGTTACGGAAAGGGGCATGTGGTGACGAATGACTCATGCATACATTCGTCACCACTCGCCGGCTTGTCCCGGAATAACACGAGTTTGTCACGAATGTCATGCACATAACTATCGTACCCAGATTTCGAGGGTTTATAGAAAACACCTCCGATGCCGCAGTATCCAACAGTGATTTCTTGGGCTCCTTTCTGTGGACAGACACATTAACTTGCATTAAGTAATTTTGATGTGGTTTGAAAAAATCCACTCTGTTTCCTTCCTCGGTCTCTTTCCAGATGCAGGTTGTCGCCCTTGAATGAGGGCATCTGTTGGCGCCACCCCTGCAAACAGCGAAACATATACTGAACAAAATAAGTTAGGGATATTGGCATATTTATGATTGATATTTTATCAGTATGTTAATGAATAAATAAGTCATTATTCACAATTTCAAAATTTACATTTATCCCCAACTATTTTGTCCAGTATATATGCCAAGTAGAATCATGTTGTGAATAATCAGTATCTGGATATGTTGTATTTTGCAGGTGATGTCTTGATGCTCAGAGATACAGTTGAAATTCCAAGAAACCAAAATTCGAAAGATCTGTTTAGTCTCTGATAATGATGAAAGTCCATGTGTTTTTAACAATAAATGTTAGTATAACAGGTAAGTGCTATTGTACATTCAGGCGTGCCAAGCGGAGGTTCATGTTGGGTGCAGGGAACCTATTCTTCCCCCAACTTCCAAGGAGATGAAATTCGCGCGATAGTACCTGTTCGGTCCCAGAATCCTTACAGGGAGGCGTGGCTGTGGAGTAGCCTAGCGGGTACTATATGTGAAACCCTTTTCTGGTGTCCCCGTCGTGATATTGATGCAATAATGCTCAAAGCGGTGTAAAACTAAACTCACTCACTCACACATGTGATGCTGGGGTCTGTTCTCACTCACTCACAAGCATGCGGGGCACAGGCCTAGCGATTCCCGGAAGTCTCAGAGTTAAAGATCATGAGAGAGACTGAGCATGCACAAGTGATGGGTGCCTGGAAGACGGAAGGGCCGCAGACAAAAGCTCCCACAAGAAGAAGGAAAGGAGCAATTATCACAAGTGATGGTGCCTGGAAGTGCCTCCCACAAGAAGAAGGAAGACTGGAAGACGAAGGGCCGCAGACAAAAGCTCCCACAAGAAGGAAGGAAAGGAGCAATTATCACAAGTGATGGGTGCCTGGAAGACGGAAGGGGCCGCAAGAAGAAGGAAAGGAGACAAAGCTCCCACAAGAAGAAGGAAAGGAGCAATTATCACAAGTGATGGGTGCCTGGAAGACGGAAGACACAAGAAGAAGGAAAGGGCAATTATCACCGCAGACGGAAAAGCTCCCACAAGAAGAAGGAAAGGAGCAATTATCACAAGTGATGGGTGCCTGGAAGACGGAAGGGCCGCAGACAAAAGCTCCCACAAGAAGAAGGAAAGGAGCAATTATCACAAGTGATGGGTGCCTGGAAGACGGAAGGGCCGCAGACAAAAGCTCCCACAAGAAGAAGGAAAGGAGCAATTATCACAAGTGATGGGTGCCTGGAAGACGGAAGGGCCGCAGACAAAAGCTCCCACAAGAAGAAGGAAAGGAGCAATTATCACAAGTGATGGGTGCCTGGAAGACGGAAGGGCCGCAGACCACAAGAAGGAAAAGCTGCCCCACAAGAAGAAGGAAAGGAGCAATTATCACAAGTGATGGGTGCCTCACAGGAGGAATGACGGTGCCTGGAAGACGGAAGGGCCGCAGACAAAAGCTCCCACAAGAAGAAGGAAAGGAGCAATTATCACAAGTGATGGGTGCCTGGAAGACGGAAGGGCCGCAGACAAAAGCTCCCACAAGAAGAAGGAAAGGAGCAATTATCACAAGTGATGGGTGCCTCGAAGACGGAAGGGCCGCAGACAAAAGCTCCCACAAGAAGAAGGAAAGGAGCAATTATCACAAGTGTCGATGCATTCTCTTACGAAAATATTTTAAATGATTTTCACGATTGCCATAGTGAATGTCAAACTCCTTACTTGATTTCCCAAAACAGCTGGGACGTCACCATGTCCCTATTTATATAGTCCACTCCCAGGTCCCACCGACAGGTCATGTTCCTCCAGTCGAACACGCGGCAGTCCAGCTTCTCCACCTTCCTGGGCCGATCTGAAGAAAGGGTTAATGTATGAGTAAGGTGTGTATGATGACGCCTTGAACAGTATCCCGGTTATATAATGACAGGTGGTAGGTCACGTTGATGTGGTAGGTCATTATGATATAGTAGGTTATCATGATGAAGTAAGTCACCATGATATAGGAGGTCACCATGATAAAGGAAGCTACCTTGACATAGGTCACCATGATATAGTAGGTCACCGTGATAAAGGATGTTACCTTGACATAGGTCACCATGAGAAAGGAAGTTACCTTGACAAAGGTCACCACGATATAGTAGGTCACCGTGATAAAGGAAGTCACCATGATATAGGTCACCACCAATCAGTAGATCACCATGATGTATGAAATCACCATGAAATATATGATAGTCACTTTGATGTTGTAGGTCAGCATTATATTGGAGGTCATCTTGATGTATGTGAGCATTATATAGGAGAAGACGATGATATAGGTCACCATGATGTAGGAAGTAACCATGATGTAGGAGGTCACCATGATGTAGGAGGTCACCATGATGTAGGAGGCCACCATGAGGTAGGAGGTCACCATGATGTAGGAGGTCACCATGATGTAGGAAGTAACCTTGATGTAGGAGATCACCATGATATAGGGGTCACCATGATGTAGGAGGTCACTATGATGTAGGAGGTCACCATGATGTAGGAGGTCACCATGATGTAGGAAGTAACCTTGATGTAGGAGGTCACCTTGATGTAGGAGGTCACCATGATGTAGGAGGTCATCATGATGTAGGAGGTCACCATGATGTAGGAGGTCACCATGATATAGGAAGTAACCTTGATGTAGGAGGTAACCTTGATGTAGGAGGTCACCATGATGTAGGAGGTCACCATGATGTAGGAGGTCACTATGATATAGGAGGTCACCATGATGTAGGAGATCAAGACGATATAGGTCATTTATTTTGATGAATGAGGTCACTTTGATGAAGGAGGTGACCATGATATAGGAGGTCACCTTGATGTATGAGGTCACCATGATATAGGAGATCATGACGATATAGGTCATTATGATGTAGGAGGTCACCATGATATAAAAGGTCATCATTATGTAGGTAACTATAATATAGTGAGGTCACCTTTATCACGGAAGTCACTGTGATATAGAAGGTCACTTTGATAAAGGAGGTGACCATGATGTAGGAGGTAACCTTAATGTAGGTCACCATGATGTAGGAGGTCACCTTGATGTAGGAGGTCACCATGATGTAGGAGGTCACCATGATGTAGTAGTCACCATGATGTAGGAGGTCACTATGATGTAGGAGGTCACTATGATGTAAGAGATCACTATGATTTAGGAGGTCACCTTGATGTAGGTCACCATGATGTAGTAGTCACCATGATGTAGGTACCTTGAGGTCACTATGAGGTGTGATATAGGAGGTCACCATGATGTAGGAGGTCACCTTGATGTAGGAGGTCACCATGATGTAGGAGTTACCATGATGTAGGAGTCACCATGATGTAGGTCACCATGATATAGGAGATCACCATGATGTAGGAGGGTTCACCATGATGTAGGAGGTCACCATGATATAGGGTCACCTTGCTGAGGTCACCATGATATAGGAGGTCACCATGATGTAGTAGGTTACCATGATATAGGAGGTCACCATGATATATGAGGTCACCATGATATAGGAGATCACCATGATGTAGGAGGTTACCATGATATAGGAGGTCACCACGATATAGGGGTCACCTTGCTGTAGGAGGTCACCTTGATGTAGGAGGTCACCATGATATAGGAGGTGACCTTGATGCATGTGAGACTACCACATAAATGAATCAATAATCATTATGAACATCATATAATTAATGGAACCGATTATAAACCGATTCTAGTGTGATTCTGGATACTATTGGGGTATCAGTCACAACTGTGAAGCTCGACGTACGATTAGAAATCGAACGACTTCTGTACAACGTAGTTTTCTCTTTAAAATGGAACTATTTTTGTTTGACAGTGTCACGATTTATTGGTTTCCTAGTTTCTATTTTTGCTTATCGCGACAGTCATCTCATGTCGGCTTTACCACGGCGCCTGCTGGTGCATTGCCAACAACAACAACAACAACAACAACAAAGTGTCAAATCAATATAGTTTCCCTTCTGACCATAGGATGGATACTACGAGGGATGCGAACACTGGCCAACGGTTTTACGAGCGCTTTAATTAGCCACTAGGCTACCATCATCATTCTGACAAACAGGGGAGGATTCTCAGTACTTACATTCAACATGAACTCGCTGTTCGCCTATGAAGACGTCCGTTGTGTTCAGTTTGCATGTGTACTGGCCCTGGTCTCGGCGTGACGTCAGAGGGTAGTCCAGCTGTATGGCTCGGTCACTTATTTGGGTAACAAAGTGCATGGGAAGAACCTTGACCTTTTTCAGAAACGTCAGCTTGAAGAAGAGTCCTCCAGATATGTTGCCTGCCAAACTGTCCTTCGTCACGTTGCAGGTCAAGGTCAAGGTCTCATTTATGAATCCATAAGGATTAACAGGACGAACGTCTGAGGACAAAGACATAAGTGGTTGTAAATAAACTTGTACTGCCATAAGATTTCAAGAGATCGCGGCACTGTCGGGGCTCTATCGCGGCTCTATCACGTTAGTGGTGCGAAACTATTTCACGATACAGAATATAGAACTTTTTGAAGCATAATTCATATCAGTCTATGCATCATTGAATATATAATTTTAAATATTGCTTCATATTGATAATGACACTGATCAAAGCTCTGAAAGACTACTTGAAAGATACGTATAAAACTATTAAACAGTAAAGCCCTCATTACTGATTTAAAATATTTGCTTTAACCGTATTTATATTTCAGTTTATGTTTATGAACACCAGAAATATTTCACCTGGTGACTGATAGCATAACAATCAGTAGTAATCTACTTAAAAACAACTTTATTACTTAATAAACTACCAGCCCTTACAAGTCCTTCCATTATATACATGGTGCAGATCTCGTGTTGACGTTTGATTGTATATACTGGGGGAAAGTAGTGATCCTCGTTAATTTGTCAATTGATCAACTGCCGCAATGGCTCTATCAATGGGAACACAGTGACTTCCTATAGTAAACAGGTTATGTACGGTTATAGGTTCGCGACATGGGAGAAAAGACTCCAATTAAGTCAATTGCAGAGTTTGCGGGAATTCCAGCATTTGAATGACGTCACTCCAGGTTCATGCACATGCATCAGGGTCGTTGGTCCCTTACATCCATTGGTGACAAACAAGAACGCATTACTGCAGTTGAGCGACATCACGACGACCAATAGTATCTTCTGAATTCCTTGAAAGAGCCTTGCCATGATGCTGGTGAGGTAATCTAACCCATAGTCTGCAAATAGGTCAGAAAAGACTTTAAAGGCGATATTTTTATGTTATACGATTAGACATGGTAACTAAACTCTTTGCTGATGGAGTCCTGTATGTGAGGTTGATTGTGTCCTGTATATTTAGCTGATTGTGTCCTGTATATTCAGCTGATTGTGTCCTGTATATCATATTGATTGTGTTCTGTATATCAATCTGATTGTGTCCTGTATATCAAACTGATTGTGTCCTGTATATCAAACTGATTGTGTCCTGTATATCAAACTGATTGTGTCCTGTATATCAAACTGATTGTGTCCTGTATATCAAACTGATTGTGTCCTGTATATCAAACTGATTGTGTCCTGTATATCAAACTGATTGTGTCCAGTATATCAAACTGATTGTGTCCTGTATATCAAACTGATTGTGTCCAGTATATCAAACTGATTGATTGTCCTTGTATATCAAACTGATTGTGTCCTGTATATCAAACTGATTGTGTCCAGTATATCAAACTGATTGTGTCCAGTATATCAAACTGATTGTGTCCCTGTATATCAATTGTGTACTGATTGTTTCAGGGTCCACCTAATTGTCTCCACTTTGCTTGTTCTATGAGACCAAAGTGATTGTTGCATATAGTCCCAGTGTCCATGACGTATAGGAGGACTGGGAACAGTCCTCAACTACATCACTGTCCCACGCCCTCGGTACCGTCCGCGCTGACTGATGCAGTGGAGGACATTGTACCATATATGATGTTTAATGCAATATATCTAAACCGCGGAAACGAACGCGGACACCGGATAAATACCTACACACAAGGATGTAGGCGACGGATCAAGAAGCATGTGTGCATGCATTGTATGTACTTATGGACTGACAAACAAAACACAACAACCGTAAAGGCGCGGTTGGCTACTTTCCAACATAAGTGCTATTGTTGAGTGAGGTTGGTTGGTGCAGTGGAGTGAATACGTGGTCTAGCAGTGAGGGAAAGGTTGACTGAGTGAGTGGAGTGGGTGGGGATGACTGAGGAGATGACCAAGCCAAGAAAGACACAGGTGGATTACATAGAAGAGGTATGACTTATAGCGTCTGTAATACGTTGCACAACAACTTAGTGCAACCCTATTCTGTCTTACTGTGCAGTACTTTGGGAACTAAGGATTTTAGTCTCCTATAAGCGCAGTACAGAACTGTGCTTGTAGATTTTCATTGGCGTAAATAGCAAAACCCTAATTTGGCAGTAAGGGCGATATGCGATGGACTGGTACTTGGTCAAAACAGAGAACAGAAGTAGTACGATTTTATGATAATCTGCACCGTATGGCACCTGCTAGATTACCTTCTGTTATTAGCAGCTGGTCACGGCGTTTGTTTCAAACAGCGGATAACACAGTGTCATCTTTACTACAATCAAGTTGCAACTCCCAGTGTAAGATCATGTTACACATGTCTAGTAGTGAATTGACTTTGTCATTTCAACATGTACAGTTGTTAGATCATCAAGAGTGGCTACTGGAACTGTGGAATGATCAATAGGGTAATCCCAACGGTAACAAGTTAAGCACATATAGACAGTTTAAAGCACACTGTTACTCCAGAACCGTACATAACTGCTATACTGCCCAGATGGCACTGTTGCGTTCTAGGCAAACTTCGCTGTGGTACACTTCCATTAGAAATAGAACGTGGAAGATTTTCTCGTCCTGCGACGCCACTTGCAGACAGGCTTTGTCGTCACTGTAGTAGTCAGGCTGTCGAAGACGAAGTCCATTTCTTAGTTAGCTGTCCTTATTATTGTGATCATCGGTATGATTTGTTTAGAAAATCTAGCATCTTACACTCAAATTTTGCCTAGTTATCAAAGGCTGAACAAGCTGACATTTCTCTTGCAAACAGAAAATATTGTTAATCCACTAGCTGCGTTTTAGTTAGCCGAATGTATCGGCGTAAGCTATCATCCCAATAACCATTTTTTTCTTAAACAAACAAACCAAGTCGATCATGCCTCTTAATCCTCTTACTCTTTAAATAAAACAACTTGCCCGACTGGCAAAAGAGGACACCACCGACCCCTTCCCAGACAAATTTGTAGTAAAGTCGCTGTCACACGGATGTCACAGCATCGTCAGCATCCATACATCCTCGCCATGTTCTGGTCACACGTCGCAAGACTCGACTATTACTATCAAGGAAGTGTAAAGCGTAAATAATATATGTATGTAAAGTGTAAATATATGCATGTAAAGTGTATATATAAGTATGTAAAGTGTAAATTGTGTATGTAAAGTGTAACTATATGTATGTAAAGTGTAACTATATGTATGTAAAATGTATATATACATGTATGTAAAATGTAAATATATGTATGTAAAGTGCATATATATATATGCATGTAAAGTGTAAATATATGTATATAAAATGTATATGTATGTATGTAAAGCGAATCGGGACACATCATAAAACATAACGACAATTATCAGTTTCGACAACACATCGCAAGACTCATACACAAACAATGAACGATCTGAAGTAGACCATACTTGCAATGAAAGGCCCAAACAACTGACATAAACACAAACAACTGACATAAACACAAACAACTGACATAAACACAAACAACTGACATAAACACAAACAACTGACATAAACACAAACAACTGACATAAAAGACAGACAACTGACATAAACACAAACAACTGACATAAAGACAAAACAACTGACATAAAAGTCAAACAACTGACATAAAGACAAACAACTGACATAAAGACAAAACAACTGACATAATGACAAACAACTGACATAAAGACAGACAACTGACATAAAGACAAACAACTGACATAAAGACAAACAACTGACATAAAGACAGACAACTGACATAAAGACAGACAACTGACATAAAGACAGACAACTGACATAAGGACAAACAACTGACATAAAAGAAGATGAAGAAGAAGGTGAAGAAGAAGAGGAGAAGAATTTATTTTGACTTGAAACAACATGTTACTCGATGCAAAACCACATGGTGTACAGGCCTGTAAAGCCACATAGGATATGTTTAATCAGCTTTATGGAGTCAATGTATGGTGTCAAATGTATGGAGTCAATGTATGGTGTCAACGTGTATGGAGTCAATGTATGATGTCAATGTATGGAGTCAATGTATGGAGTCAATGTATGTACGGTGTTAATGCATGGTGTCAATGTATGGAGTCAATGCATGGTGTGAATGTATGGTGTTAATGCATACGGTGTCAGTGTATGGAGTCAATGCATGGTGTCAATGTATGGAGTCAATGCATGGTGTCAATGTATGGAGTCAATGTATGAATTGTCAATGTATGGAGTCAATGCATGGTGTGAATGTATGGTGTGAATGTATGGTGTCAGTGTATGGAGTCAATGCATGGTGTCAAATGTATGGAGTCAATGCATGGTGTCACTGTATGGAGTCAATGCATGGTGTCAGTGTATGGAGTCAATGCATGGTGTCAATGTATGGAGTCAATGCATGGGTGTCAATGTATGGAGTCAATGTATGGAGTCAATGTATGGAGTCAATGTATGGTGTCAACGCATGGTGTCTGAGAGTTGTTACATCACTAGAGAGCTAAGGTTGGCAGGATTGATTGGAATATCTAAACAGTGATACACATAAACTTATAAACACATGTAGAAGCTTGAACACATAACTTTCTAAACTGTAAATATTTAGGACAAATCATCATAAAAGGCTACTGAATTTCAACAAAGATTTGACCCTGGGTATTGCAATAATCACAATACGGTCTTCCCTTGGAATATTTGTATGATAAATCTCCTATCACTTTGTTTTCTAATTAGTTCCAAATACACTTCCAAAACCAAAAACTGCTTTTAAATTTTGGTAAAGCAAAAAAAATACCATTTGACTCTAAATCAGGTCTCCATTGCTGAATACAGATATCGATGAGACGTGTTTTGTGTCCGATGTTACAGACATTAAGCCCTTACACAGGATTAAGACAGTAACATCAACTCTAAATATTATTCTAATATCTGCTACTACTAACAATTATATTTAATGATCACAATATATTCATGCCTGGTTTTAGTTTCTTTTCTACGACATGATTTGTGTATCAGTCTGCATAGCAACACACTAATATCGAGAGATTCTGTAAATAAACGTGAGTCTGAACCGGACACACCAGTGATTGGACAGGTGCAGTGATCTGCAATAAGGGATGTGACTCCAGCTCCCTGTTAAATGATCCTAGCTATAGGAGTCATGCAGTAGTGATGTAGCTGATGTCATCCTGGCAGCCAGACAGGTGTATTGACGTAGCTGGTGCCATCCTGACAGCCAGACAGGTGTATTGACGTAGCTGTTGTCATTCTGACAGCCAGACAGGTGTATTGACATACCTGTTGTCATCCTGACAGCCATACAGGTGTTTTGACATACCTGTTGTCATCATCCTGACAGCCAGACAGATGTATTGACGTAGCTGATGTGATCCTGACAGCCAGACAGTATTGACATTACCTGTTGTCATCCTGACAGTTTTCAGACAGGTGTATTGACTTAGTTAATGTCATGTAACCCCGATAAGTGATATAATTACTCCTTCAATTAAATTCAACATGTATGAGAGGGTGTTTTATTACAAGAACATGAATGTTATATACATTGGTATGACAGCAGGTAAACATATCAAGCAGAACATCAGAAAATCAAATATGTATAAATCCAAGTAATGAGTATAATGATATGACATCTCCATTCCATAACGGCCAATGTGCCTTCGTCTGATAACTTCTGGACCCTAAAGTTCTTAACTGAACCACAATCACCGAAAGGCAAGGATGAGGAGTGGAGTGTGGATAATCGTGGATGATTAATGAGTATGATTACAACTGGGTATAGCCCTGCTGGGGTTTACCTTCAGACATGCTT